CTAAGAATGATGGTCCTAAGCCAAAAAATGTTGGTAATAGTCTTTATTTTGTCTGAGTAGAACATATGGGATAAGTTAAGTCCATGGGAAAGATAAAAATTAAGTGTTCTGAACTTCATTTAGTTACTACTTGACTGAGTGATATAAGTGAGAAAGAGGTTTCCTTACAATGATATGATATGGGTGGTGAGAGTCTTGCACCCAACTTCTCTTTAATAAGTTTGCATCATCAGTAGGTGATATGCTTCACAATCACACTGACCTTCTGGTATACAAGTATCATTAACATAACAAAGCCTTTTAAAGGAATCAGTATTATAGGGAATGAGCTATTATAAATATGTATAAGCCCTCTGTAGCTATAGTTTGTTCTTATAACTAATGGTTTTTAATTGTACCCCTTTTTTTTAATGAGGCTGTCCTAAAATATGTTTACAATCACATAGTTTGTTAAAAATAATATAGGTATTTTTATAAACCTAGAATTATTATTTTAATGTTTTATAATTCTTTGAATTCCTTAAATAGAATGCTAAGTAAGTAAGTGCTCCTACATTTGATGGATCATTGATATAATCTTCATATATCTTTTAATTGTTGGTTTTTATTTTCTATAAAAAGGCATTAAGTTGCAAGTAAATCCATGATTGTATGCCAATGTTATTCACTTATCCTTTCTGTTTTCCTTATTCTTCTAGTCTGCTCCCAGTTTTCAAGAGGAGTCTATGCTATTTTTGGATTTTATGACAAGAAGTCTGTCAATACCATCACTTCATTTTGTGGAACGCTCCATGTCTCCTTCATCACTCCCAGCTTCCCAACTGATGGCACACACCCATTTGTCATTCAGATGAGACCTGACCTCAAAGGAGCCCTTCTTAGCTTGATTGAATACTATCAGTGGGACAAGTTTGCGTACCTCTATGACAGTGACAGAGGTAAGTGAAAATATCCCTATCCCTTGATAATGGGCCGAATTCAATGCCTACCTTGACACTTATATGGGACGTTACAGATCTGCCTAGCTGTCTTAAAGTCCAAAGGTTACATGGTTTAATTTTGCTGTGTAAATGAAAAATGCAATTCAAAACCTGGGAAACATATTTAGAGTGAAAATTAAAAAAAAATTGTACATGTACAATTTACAGATATAGACTGTGTCAGCCGAAGGCCCAGCTGTAATGTAGAAAGCACTTTCTGGTAGCAGCAGTTAAAACTCTGTGGTGACTAGATTACTAGCTCAAGGTCAGTAAAGTGGTTGCCTTGAAAATTGGTTGAAGTAAAATTTGTAGTAATCTATCTATCTATCTATCTATCTATCTATCTATCTATCTATCTATCTATAAATCTAATATGCAAAGTGTCTCCTCGGGAGTTCGACTGTAGACCGGAAATTTGATTGCTCACTATGATGTGCGCTGACCACCAGGGGGCAGCGTGAAATGAAGGAAAGCCCTGATCACCGGCCAGGCCTAGGGACCCTACCCATGCATGAATTTAATGCACCGGGCCTCTAGTACATAAATAAGAACTGCTACAGAAATTTATAGTTATCACATATAACTATAAAGTGCAAAAGTTTTATCAGGTAGTTACCATTATTATTTAACTTAGCTTTAAAATGGGATTGCTGAATCTCAGACAAGTTAAAGCCTTGCTCATTGTTCTGTAATAT